ACTCCAACTAGTTCCTTATCAGAATGCATTTGTAAATTTAAATATTTTAGAACGAGGCTAAATATGACACTCCGAAAGCTGAATTTGGTTTAGAGCATTTTCAAAACCGAATCAGAAACGGTCAAGTTGTGAAGACAGAGGATGTTAGGAATTTTTGTGGTGTCTTGACTAAAGCTGAACATTTGGACTATAGAGAATTTCAGTGTTGCAATCTTCCGTTCACACCATTCATGAAAAATGCCTGGTAAAGGAAATTCCCCTCCTGCTAATATACCTACCGAGCCGTATTGTTGCAGTGCAGGTGATTCTTTATCTGCTGAAGATACCACTTCGTCCGGGACTGGACAGAAGTGGTATCCGCTAAGTTTGCCAACAAACGACACAAATGTTCACTGTGTGACTACAGTGAACATTTGTGTTCACTGTAACACAAATGTTAGTATAAAGGTATAACAAACAATCCTTGCAGATAAGGAAATCATACTTAGCCAAGAAGCCGGAGCTTAACGAATGGTTTGAGGGGATCTCTAATTTCAACTTTGGACAGCTCAAGGACCTGGACTGGGAGAGTTCCGAGTTGAAGACATTTGAAAACATTACCTACGCCGTGAGTCAAGATCAACTGTTTACTCCAGTTAATAAATTGACATAAGTTAAAATATTCAGGCTAAATTCTTGACACAAATTGAAATATTTAAGCTAAATTCTTAACATAAATTGAAACTTTTAAGCCAAATTTTTAATATAAATTGAAATATTTAAGACCACCATGATAGTAGAAAGTCGAAACAAGAAATCACGCTCAGGATTTATTACGCGAGGGGGAGATGTATAACGATACGTTCATCACGTGTACTCAAGGTCATCTGAGGTACTGTCACGATACTGACATGGGAGACGGCTACTTTTCCAGGGTGGGATGTTTACATTTTTGAGGGGACATTTTTGGTGTATGTCCCCTAATGCCGCGGTTGCACCGCTATTTTTGATCTATTATACATGAGTTATTTTGACATCTTTCTAAAATTTTTCTATTTTAATATTTTGCTTTCTCTGGCACCACTAACATGACAATGTGATTTATGTTTAATTTCATGTTAAATTATTATGTTAAATTATTATATTAAATTATTATGTTAAATTATTATGTTAAATTGTAACCCTTTAACTCTTATCAATCTTATCAATCTTTATTAATATCACTTTCGCTATAATGAAATAGGGAGAATAGTCTTTATGGTTATATTTTAATGACATGGAATAACAGGCTTTATTTCAGGATGTAGAGTTTGTGAGTGGAAGCTGTTTCAGAATAAACCCCGAGGGTAACTTAAAAGGGAAAAGTGGTGATTACGGAGTCCTCTCCTTGATACTTCTAGCCGATAAAGACGAGTATGGCTTTATATCATTATTATCATGAATTATGTATTATAATTTTAATTGGTATCGTTTTGCAACTGTCAGGCAGCCTGCAAAACGTTACCAATTTAAGACAGGTTGCCGGACAGTTGCGGCCTTTCTCACCCAATGTAGATCAAGTTACCATGGGAAAATAACGAATGAAAACCAATAAAAACTGCTTAATCAAATACAACCGTTAATCAACCACTCATCATAATACCCTCAGATACACTGACTCAAGCAAGAGTAATATTGGCTGGGTCGTGGCTACACACGAGGCAGAGAGGTACGGGGCCTCTATAGATAACGGGATCAAGATATCACCTGGACACGCTTACTACATTAACATCGATACCATGATCGTAAGTTTATTGAATATTGAACCAGTACAAATATGTTTTACTGGTTCATTTTTTAACCGAATACTTCAAATAGCTTAAATGATCTGGTCCTAAAATTGTGTCACAACTGAGATGCTGAAAGTTGGATTCCGGTCAAGTCTATGTGATTTCAAAACAAATGCTAATAAATCCGTCATCAACAGATACGCAACCATAAAAAGCACTGTGCAGCAACAAAAGGGAAGATATCAGGATATGGCAGATATGATCAATCTACCTGTCTTCTGGACTGTAGAGATAGGATGCTTAACAACACGTGCGGGTAAATAGGCAGTCTTATGTTAGAGATTTTAAGTTTTTAAGGCTGAAGTGCAAAAATTGTTAAAAAGATAATCAGCTGATTTAATTGGGGAGTTTTCTATTATATTACTAAAATTCTCGACTTAAATAAAATAACTTCGTATTGCTAATTAACATCATGGGAATATATCTTCTTGTATTTGCGCCTCTGTCAATGGTCTCATCTCCGCAGATGCTTAATTTCAACCCCTCCGTTGAATGATGTGTTCCAGTACAAAGAATGTACGATAAGGCAGGTTGCTTCTTGTAGTTTGGAAGCTTACTACAGATTTGGTAAGCCAAAGTTTCAATTTGAATAACTAATTTACAGCTCTTTTCGGCCAGCCGAATTTTTCTCAGCTCTGTAAAGATATATTTTATAATTTAAACTGAAATGAGTCAGTAATGGTGTACAAAAAAAAGTTGTCCAAGAAATAGTGTCCCACAAGTTTCTTTGGATAACCGCCATCAAAACCCTGATCCCAGTATAACTTTAGTGCTCGACTTTGCGGACGTGAATAGTGACTACGACGAGTGCGGATGTAAAGTGGTAGCATGTGAGTACACCCTCTTCAGGACAACTGTCACAGCCACTCCCATACCTGACACGGAGATTCAGTACAAGCTTAATGCGTGGAAGCATCCCAGAAACTTTCACAAGTGAGTAAAATAGTCCCAGAAACATTCACAAGTGAGTAAAATAATTCCAGAAACATGTACAGGGGTCAGGTGAGTATAGTGAAAGTCAAACACAAGAAAACATTTTGTTTCGTTATGCAAATTTTAATGATAAGTAACGTTATTCATAAAGAAAATAAAAAAACTCCAAATAAAGAACAAATTTACGAGAAAAGTCCTTATAGATTTTACAGAGATTTGAAGATTGATCAATATTAATTGCAAGTATCATAGGAGAGGTCACATTAGTCTTCATCATTTGGCTTTATCATCTGTCTCTATCATCTTATCGCAGTCTTGTAAGCTTGTATACTCTATTTCCCGGATTTCCCATATCTGCAGAGAGATGGTTGTTTCTTGCATAACAGATCTCCGAGCGCAGTCCCACCATTACCACTGTCATATGTAAAAACATCCACTTCTACCTTTTTATCCTGACTTCCTCCTCCCTTATTTTGTCTTTTTCTGCAGGCCGGTAATTTGGGGAATCTTTTGCATTTCCAACTTTTAGCCGTTACCGAAATGGTGAGTAGGAGTAAAATACCCATTAACAGTAGCAACAGTGACAATCGCTTAACCATAATTTGCTGGAAAATTTGCAAGGATTACAAACGCAAAGATTTTCAGAATAATCAGGATTTTAGCTTTAAGGACTAAAAGGATTCTCCTGATAGAAGCAATGGTGAACGCCGTCTTCGACACCTAATCTTATACGATTTCTTTTCTTCAGATCACGGCAGATATAAACCAAAACTAAACACTAAACAGAACTGTAGAATAATGTTTAGTTGCACTCAAATTATGGTTATGTTATCATCCTCCCTCTTCTTCTACAATTGTGATGTGTCAGTTGTGGTTTCAATGTGGCCATTATATTCTATTCTAATTTTGTGCACATATTAAAATGGAATATGTAGAATGTACATATTATAGTGAAACAAAGGGAAACCACTATGTGTGAACGTCATACTAGGAGGTGTGATCAATTAAACTAAAACACTGTGACCAAATCTGGTGATTTTCTGGTAAGTACATAATTTATAGTTGCATATCAGAGCTACTTCAGCTAGTGAGTTATGCCTAATTGAAGGTTAAGACTGAATCTGGAGGAGTCATTTTGGGGTCTGCGAAATAATTTCCACCGATATTTTGTCGAGCTGAACATTTTGCACCCTTTGAACATCCTCGATTTGCTTGAATCTCAAAAATGTGGAGCTGGAGGTCAGATTCACAAGTTTTAATCCGACAATTCAGTGGTAGTGGTACTTCAGCTAGTGAGTTATGTCAAATTTAAGGATAAGACTGGATCTGGACGAGTCATTTTAGGGGCTACCAAATAATTTCCACCGCTATTTTGACGAGCTGAACATCTTGCACCCTTTAAACATCCTTGATTGGATGAGTTCAATATCCTTTATTTTGTTTCTTTTTTAATATCCCGACAATCTCCGTAGTACATAATTGGGTGCTGTTTTCAGGTTTAAACGGTTTTCTAACTACACAGCTGACGATCTCGCGTAAGTTAAACTTAACTCGTTTCGCCTCATGACACCAAGTTAGAAGTCTTGATAAAAAATGAAAATGTGATATATATTTATTTTGATTTTTTTACAAAACATGAGGTGCAACAAAATATTCTTGTTGCAGAGAGAACATGGCGAGGGTGGAATTCTTTTTCGGGTCAAGCTCTATAACAAAAGTTGAGGAAATTATCGCTTACGACTTTGACAATTTATTGGGTACGTCTTACTTACAAATCACTTTTGTCTCTTCTCACATGTACACAGGCTTTAACCCTTACTCGCTTCTTTATAGCAAAAGCTACATTTTGATCCTTTCATCAAGGATATAATGTATAATTTCACACTGTTCATCAGGTGACATAGGCGGTGTAATGGGACTATTCCTGGGAGCCAGTGTCTTCACCACCATGGAGTTCTTCACTCTGCTTATCAACTTATTATCACGTCTGTGGCAGTTGAAGATAGGACCCTGGCTGCACCCGGAGAGGAGGGACAGGGGTGTTATCTCAGGGACAGACCTTTAGTTTTGCAAAACAACTCACTATTCTGTGGATAAGGAGATCTTGCAGTTATTTATTGGAGACTATTCAGAGGACTACTCGATAAAGGATAATGTATTATTTCATCGTGTTATCCATTACTCCTTGCCCATGTAAAAGCGAACTAAACCTTTAGACTTTAGAGTTTAGATGTAGGTAAGAACTAAAAAGCTTAGAGTGTCAACAAGAACTTAAAATTGTGAGTTGAACGAAACCTTTCTAATTTAGTAATTGATTTATGATAACCAACGGTTTCGCCTTCGGTTGCATTTAGTACGAAAGAATTCCAAACAGTAACAATAGTAATAAACATTAAATCACTTGCGAGAGATTAATTATGGATTTCATTATAAAATCCATCCGAGTTCCGATTTCCAACAAACGGCTAGTGACCCAGTTTGTTTCGTTGTTAATCGAGCTCTGCGAACTATAATTTAGATATCATTTATTAAGTACCGCCATACTGTTATGCAACGTTTACAAGCGCTAAAAACTGGACTTTTTTAATCTTTTTAAGCATAATAAAAATATTGAACTTTATTGATTAATGAAAGTTTTGTAATGTATGAACCATTCGACGATCTTTATGATTATTATCAATCATTTTATCTACTATTAGTATTATATCATTCATCATCAAATATTAATTCTAACTCATCGTCGTTTTCCTCACAAATTGAAAATAAAAAACAAGTGTCCTAAAATTGTAATCTTGGAAATTGGAGTCAAATTATATTTTAGGAATTAATTAAATTGAACATGATGAAACTGGAAGAAAAAAATTAAAGCAATATACAATTTAATTTTGACAACCTGTTGACACATCGGTAATTTTACTGGGCGGCGTTCAGCCTGTCATTCTGCCAAATCTTTATTAATGTTTATGAACATTATACTTTATAGCCTGCGGTCCCAGGTTAAGTCGATAAAATAACGAGAGACCACAGGAAATGCGAAGCTAGTTAAAGACTGGGAGTGAAATTTAAGTCAAAATAACAATGCAGTTAACTTAGACGAGGTTATATCATAAATCAATAACAATAAATTAATCAACACATACAAAAAACGATCCAAAACAAATTAAGCAATATTAAACAAATTTACCGCCCAATAACCGTCCAATTAACTGCCCATTAACTGGCCGTGTCAGTCCAGATTATAAATAAACTTCTTAGTAGTTTTATCAAAGAAACTGTTGGTAACTCTGTCTACACTGGAACACTCCTCAGCCGAAAGGTGGTTCTCCCAGTCACCAACTTTTCCTTGACGCAAGAAATCAGCACTGAAATTAAATGTGAAATTAAGTAATACGCTTACATTAGATTGAGTTTAATATTGTAAAATATAATGCCCGAACTGTATAAACACCTGAACTATAAGCTTATGAGAGACGGAGCAAGGACATAAAAGATAACGATTAGATGTGTCGCCCGAAATTTTGATGGTTATAAGTTTGTATTTCTTAAGATTTCTGTAAATTTTCATACCTGTTAGGCTTACGGCGATGTTCGAAGCGGCTCATGTTGGCATTACTGTCCACCTTCATTCTGTTGAAAGCACAACGCTCTTTAATAGACTCTAGATCTTCGTTCGACAAATTTCTCAGTCCCAAAAATCTGTAAATTCAGTAACGATATATCAAATTGGAATCAACGATTCAATTTTATAAGGCATTTCCAAAATTAAAGTCACACTTGACCAAGATCAATTAAAGAATCCAATCTTCATTCTCAAAATTAGTGCAACCTTACCTGTTCAATTTCATGACAATCTTCTCAAAGTTGAGGTGCAGAGATTCATAGTCTATGTGAAAGATATCCATGTTGTTCAGGTTTTCAAAGTAGTCTAAAGTATGGCCAAACCATGAACCGTATGGGAGTTTTCCTTTTGTGAAGAGTTCTACAAACTGAGACAAAGGTTCATTGTACTCGTATGCTCTGATAGAGGAAAGTAATTCAAACAACATATACAAATAAATTTAGCAATGTTATTATCTAACCATACAGTTAGATAATAGATACCCTCATAAAATTAACCTAATAATTTAAAATGGTAATAAAGACTAAAAATGTGGGTAAAAACCCATTGACAATTCAATAAACAGGCTCTATTCTCTAAGTTTGTTATTTTGTATTGCACCCCTGCGGAGTGCGGCATTACGAAATATAACGGTTATTTCAAGCTGTACCTATTATTAGTATTACAGTACTAGCAATTTGTTTGACTTCATGGGCCCGCGAGGCGCGACCGTGACCAATGAACTCAGACCACTAAATAGTCTCAAATTCCCTTCCTGCAGACCTCATGTCCTCAATCCTCGTAGTCATACTGTTTAGGTAATATAAGGAATGTGCTTTTCACCCTAGTGTTCACCTCCTAATTGTTGCGGTCTCATGTTGACGGATGTTACTCGTCTAAATTTCTTCGAAGTAGCGCGCGCCGCTTTTTTCTCGAAATGTAGCGCGCCGGGCCAGCTGATCATTAACAATGGTCAAGGTCTCATGTAAACAACGAGCAACTCGCCGTTCGCACGTCTTATAATTAGCTGACCTAGCAGATAAGTCCACTACTAAAATAGTCAGCAGGGAGACTAAAGCTTAAGCAGTGGTGAGGGAAGATTCGAGTTGAGTCTACGATATACAGTATCATACAGTAAAGTTTGATATCCTCAGTATCAGATTAAGTGATTCCATACCTCTTCTCCACATTAACTCATACTCTCATACTAAAAAACGTTATTTTCCATTCTCTCGCACTAGCCATAATACAGTGCTGTCTTTTGGTGTGTAGATTCGTGTTGATTATGTGCTCTCTACTACTGCCTTACTTGTGCAATAGGCAGTATCATGCTTGCAGTATCAGTCATGATACAGTAAAACGTAATTTTGTCAAAGCTAAAGACCGCGATCCCCCGGCTTCCGCAAGCCAGCGAATAAAGAGATGCCCCAAATAGCTAGTTTATGGAACTGTAAAGTTCCGTAAGACCGTTGGACGATTAACCCAGCGACAAACCTATAGTTTCTATTCCATTATTCATCTATTCAACAATAGACCTTGGCCCTTGCTTAGTACAGCTCAATGCTATATATAATATCTCAAGACTGTTCATCACGTTTTGAAACAGTTTAACGGTGTGGCTTAACACGTGGCACACGTAGCATAGGTTACACTTGGTAAGGGGAGGGTGTGATCTAGTTGTAGGCGGGCACAATACAACCTATCTACGTTTTATTTTGCATGCTTCTGAACATCCTTGATTTTCAATCGAATTATATTCGACCTATGGGGACAAGTCGGAACATACTCCTTCATCTTCTGATTATCTTGATGGTGGAAAATGATGTTACTATCGCAGGTAAACGTTTGAGAGAACCTTATATTATTTCAGTCACTATTGATACGTTTCACTGAAGGATTTGTTATAGAAGTGGTAATATAATCCTGAATTTAACAACTGCTCCCTAAGAGTAAGGTCCTTTATAGCGCTAAACACTCTAAAATGTTTCAGGGAAAGTTGAACCTGCATCAGTGTCCCAAAGCAGCACTCTCGCTTGGAGTGGTAATGCAGAGAAGGCGGAATCTGCTACTGACGGTGATCTGAAAACAAAATCGCACACTCAGTGTGGATGGAACACTGACTTGTGGTTCAAAATGAAGTTTGATGAAGTCTTCTGCTTCTTTGAAGTGGTCATCCTCCAGTCCCATCTCAATGATAACGCTTTTCGTATGCAGGACACGAAAGTATTTGTAGTTAACATAGATACAGGAATTGAGAATCTCTGAGGAGTTCTCAAAATCAGCCCTGTTTTGACTATAGAAGGCCAAACGTATAGAATTCCTTGTCATCTGAACTGTGGCAATGAAGTGAAGCTGACGGTGAGACATGACCCTGGCAGCTATGCCGTCAAAGCATGCATTCACATGAAAGAAATAATGGCATTTGGTGCAGGTATGTCAAAAATGCCAAATAATATTTCGGTTTAAAATCATCAATGATCGGATGTGTACAATATGTTGATCCATCTACAATTAATTTTGTTGAAGAAGAATATGGATTAGCATGGGTACGGTGGTAAAAATGGGAGGGATAGTTCAGTACGACTAATTCATTATAACTACTACTGTTTTGGTTTCATTTACAGATTATGTTTCAGATTTAACACAGATATCTTATAAGAAGTCCATATCTTCTAGAATGATCGGTGCATACTGCATCATATTATTTTATATCTACTATATAAGTATATAAAGGGAGATGTATATTATTCCACCGCATCTACTCATTCAAAGTTAAGGTAACAATTAGTTGGAAATCCGAAATTAAACTAACTTTTACTTACATCAATTAATTAAATCAATTAATCAAATCGATTGATTAAATCAATTAATCAAATCAATTAATTAAATCAGTTAATCAAATCAATTAATTAAATCAATTAATTAAATCAATTAATCAAATCAATTAATTAAATCAACTAATTAAATCAATCAATCAATCAATTAATTAAATCAATTAATCAAATCAATTAATTAAATCAATTAATCAAATCAAACAATTACTTTAATGAGTACCTATAGCCGGACATATGATGAAAGTAAGAGACCAGAACATCTTTAGGGTTTCTGGTCAGGTAGATGTACTTAGTCTTAGTTCCGGGTCTCCAGGCTAAGTTATTGTATGTTTCGTGTGTTGTCATAACTCGGGGCGATGTCATAGCGTTAAACTCCTGTGTAAACAAGGGATCAATAGATTTCATCACAAATGACAAAGCAGGTGCATTATGATAGCGCTTGCATTAAATTTCAAACATTTCAAATATGCGGAAGGAAAAACCTACGACAAACTAGTGACTAGACGTATTGTGCCTCAATCATATCGAGGTTAAAAACTGTGCCTTCATTATATGGAGATTGGAGGTTAAGTAACTGTTTACTGTACCTCAATATCTAACAGCTCAATCCAGGGCACTGCCTGGGAAAGGTTGTTTCTGAGTGAAATCCTGCTGTCCTTGTTCACACCGTTCTTCTCGTAAAGACATTTCAGTATTTGCTGTACCCATAGAGTCCCTGTTTATAAGTTAATTTATAACTAATTATTGATTTGTTACAAATTATTAATATTGTCCGGTTGATGGTGTTCGACTGAAAATGATTTTTTTGAGGTAATTTAAGGAAGGCAATTGAAAATTAAAATAATAAATAAAAATTACCAAACAGGTTGCTAACCTGATTTAGGATAGGTAACCAAAATAACATCGTCATCCCTCAGCTCGTAGTTTGATGTTCTGTGTATCTCGTTGCCGTCTATCAACTGTTAATATGAAGCGTCATATCACTAGTAGCGTCATATCACTATAGTTTACTAAAGACTTGAAACCTCGACTAAAGTTAACCTTTTTCCACTATTTATATTAGAGTAAAACATATTCAGAGCTCCTAACATGTGATCATGGTTCCCGGTCGAGTTGGAACTTAAACTTTTGTCAATATTGAGCCTGATGAACGACAGACAAGCATTGACTCACAATTATTTTGGATTTATTTTGGATTTATGAGAACCAGTCCAGCACAGATTTAGTATTATTACTATTAGGTATACACTTAATCTAGTGCACGGTTAATAAGCTGACATTTAACATACCGGTGGGTATATCTGTCCACACAGAAAGTTGTGTCTGAACGGCAGGTTGAGAGGAGGGAACAACCTTTTTATGGGCATATTCCAATCCATGTCGAGTTAAAATGCAGGTGGTTACTGATAACAAAGAAAAATAGACATTAAATAAGCTAGTGTTAAAAGTGTAGTGGGCCAAGGTTTTACTTTCAGTTTTAACCCACGCATTATATTGCATATATTGTGTAAACTTTCAGATGCCACTTTGAGATCAGACTTTTGGAAGCTTAACTTTTTACAAGTTTTTCGCACAATTAAGTTTACTACCACGAGTTTCTAAAATTTCGTAAGTCAAAATAAATGAACACATATTGCTGAACTTATCAAAAATTCACCTATTTAATCCACCACTCCGACAAACGATAAATCAATGCTGAGCTGGAGGAGGACGCACTCGATGCAGTTGTCCTGAGCACGCCCTGCCAAACTCACCAAAACGTACCAAAACGTTTTAAATACAATAGGGGGGGGGGGGGTGGTTTCCAAATGATTACGCTAGTGTATTTTTGACACAATAGCTATGTGTAAAACTGATAACAGAGGGGTCGGGGGGGGGGGGGGGGTAAAAATTGTTCAAAAAGTGATAACGTAATAATATGTGAACGACCCCTAAACAGCGAGCTACTCGCACGTCTTGTTATTAGCTGACCTAGCAGATCAGACCACTGCAGCTAAAACAGTCAGCACTAGGGAGACGAAAGCAGTGGTGAGGGAAGATTCTAGTTGAATCTACGATATACAGTATCATACAGTAAAGTTTGATATCCTCAGTATCAGATCAAGTGATTCCATTCCTCTTCTCCACATTAAGAAGTCCATATCTTCTAGAATGATCGGTGCATACTGCATCATCTTACTATATATAAAGCGAGACGATATACATAATGGGCATTTTGCTCCTTTATAAAAAATTTTATTGTTTGTTAAAATCAGGACATTATTTTTGAAACACCCTGTATATGGTTCCGTGCCATTTTACTGACGCCATGGCATCAACTTTAACGCGACTTTCCACAAAAACCGTAAAAGATATACAACTGAAACTTTTTTGACTGGGTCAAATGCTTTAATGGCCTTCAAATCAGCATGAAAAAATAAAAAATTTGCCAAGGAATAAGAATTTTAGTGCCCAAAATTTGTACTCCCAAGTGGTGTCAAAAACGCGAATTAAATCACAATGCTGGCAAGCATGACCGTGCCTCTTATATTCACAATACTATTTACCCCCTTTACTATTTACCCCCTTTACTATTTACCCCCTTTACTTTTATAACCCTTTATTATTTTTCGGGCATTAAGACTCATCGAAAGTAGTTCAGCAGGTATATTTAAGTTCAAATCATTCTAATTCAATGTTAAAGATGACAGGAACAAGAAATAGTTATGTGGAGGTTTTTAAGAAATTTGCGCAAAATACGCGCCAGCATGTTATACGAAATTCGGTAAAAAACCCAAAATTGCCATATTCAGGTGCCTTAAAAACCATGTTAAAATTGAGTTAGAGATCTGAAACTTTGCAGGGCGTCTAGACGTTGACCAAATCGACTGTAAAAAAAATTTCGTGTTTCAGGAGTATCGGGAAATGGGTTTTCTGGAACCCCTGTTTTACGATAGATTGTCGTGATACATATATTCAGGGATAGACGCTTTGCCAGTCAAATGTAGTCAATTGTAGCCTGAATTTAAGTGTCCGGAGATTCAAAAGTATAAAAGATACAGCAATTTCCGACCACAGGTCTTAAAGATAATTGTTTACACTTCAGTTTCAATTATATCAAAAAATAATTTAACGTCATCATCACCACTTGATGACGTCATCAAATTAAGTGTTTTTAAAACTTGATTTTTGACAAAATAACAACTTTTCAAACTGATTTTACACCATTAAGGAGTAATTTTATTCAAAATCTGAGGAAAAATTCATCTTAGATAATTGTTCAAGCATTCTGAAAATCTACCGGAAAGTTTTCTTATCTTACTCCTTCATAAAGATATTTGCATTTGAAGTTAGTGCTTTTTTGAAGAATTATTTTATAAAAACGTCAATTTTGCGATTTAGTATTCTCTGGTGTTGGGCTATCCCTTGGGTTGTGGAGCTCAGTTCTGCTTCCTATAGGTATAAATTGTGTATTAGGCTAGTTTTAAAGTTAAAAATATAAAAGTTGCACACGTGGGGACACGCCCAAATTGATTAAAAATTGCTAAAATCACTGAAAATTGCTGTTTTTACCATTTTCAGTAAACGTTGGTGTGCCGTTGTGATTACAGTTCTTCTTGAAATACTTTGAAACTTTGCATGCTTATCAAACTATATATAAAACACCAACACGCAAAAATTTACGGCGATTCAATATTGGATGCGCACGCAACGTCCGCTCATAGTTTGCACGTGTGAAAGGTGATAATTTTGCTCATTCGTGATTTCGATTAAATTCTGCTTTACCACGACAGTTCAATGTCATTATATATAAATTTAATGCCAACTTGAATGAGTATAAAGTGGCAAATTCAGTCAGTGATCGACCGATATGCTTACCCAAACACAAGGAAATGTTTTCAAAGGAAAAATTTCGAAATCGTTGAAACTTCCTCCTTATTAATGAAGATATCAGTTTATATTTCGACTTTATAAAGTACCCTGACATTAATCAAAAAGCGATGATATTTGACCAAAACCCATAATCATGGGTAGAGTGGACCGCTGCCAGTGTCTCTCTTTCCCAAACAAAAGGAAATGATATTAATTTGATTGACCGTTCTCAAATGCAAAATGATACCGAGAATGAAATCGGTCGCTCGCTTTTCCCATTCATTCACGGCTTACGAATTGTAATAAGTTTCGATTGATTACATCAATCAGATGCTGTAAAAATCTCTTTGGGTTGCGTTCGGGTCGATACCTAGTATTTCGGGGTAAGGGTGGTAGTTATTACTTATTGAATTAGCTGAAGTTTATTGAATCTTTTTTGCCGAGTACAGCTGCCTTTGGGTAGTTCTTCTTAATCTATTGCAATTGTAAATGAATGGGAAAAGCGAGCGACCGATTTCATTCTCGGTATCATTTTGCATTTGAGAACGGTCAATCAAATTAATATCATTTCCTTTTGTTTGGGAAAGAGAGACACTGGCAGCGGTCCACTCTACCCATGATTATGGGTTTTGGTCAAATAGGTAATAATTATTTTAGTCTCTCGAGTCTTGACACCACTTTAGGGTAGACTTGTTCCTGCTAATATTATGTAATGTCTACTATATAAGTATAGTATACATTACTATATTAGTATATTATTCCACCGCATCCACTCATTCAAAGTTGAGGTAACAATTAGTTGGAAATCCAAAATTAAACTAACTTTTACTTACATTTTAAACTTTAAATCATGATCAGAAGAAAACTAGTTAGTTCATTAAAAATTTGCAAAATCGCTGGGTTATGAGGTGGTTAACATTAAAATTCCTCAGCCAATATGATAACACATATTGAAATGAGCTACGAGAGTAATTAATCAATTAATTTAATTAATTAATCAAATCAATTAATTAAATCAATTAATTAAATCAATTAATTAAATCAATTAATTAAATCAATTAATTAAATCGATTAATTAAATCAATTAATTAAATCGATTAATTAAATCAATTAATTAAATCAATTAATTAAATCAATTAATTAAATTAATTAATTGAATCAATTAATTAAATCAATTGATTAAATCAATTAATTAAATCGATTAATTAAATCAATTAATTAAATCAATTAATTAAATCAAATAATCAAATCAATTAATTAAATCAAACAATTAGTCGAATGAGTACCTGTAGCCGGACATGTGATGAAAGTAAGAGACCAGAACATCTTTAGGGTTTCTGGTCAGGTAGATGTACTTAGTCTTAGTACCGGGTCTCCAGGCTAAGTTATTGTATGTTTCGTGTGTGGTCATAACTCGGGGCGATGTCATAGCGTTAAATTCCTGTGTAAACAAGATTTCATCACAAAGCAAGTGCATATTATGATAACGCTTGCATTAAATTTCAAACATTTCAAGTATGCGGAAGGAAAAACCTACGATAAAGTGACATGGACATGTGTTAATTATAATAGGAGGGTGATAGTAACTATTACACAAGTATTTGTGCCTCAATCATATCAAGGTTAAAAACTGTGTCTTCATTATAATTATATGGAGGTTAAGTAACTGTTTACAGTACCTCAATATCTAACAGCTCAATCCAGGGCACTGCCTGGGAAAGGTTGTTTCTGAGTGAAATCCTGCTGTCCTTGTTCACACCGTTCCTCTCGTATAAACATTTCAGTATTTGCTGTACCCATAGAGTCCCTGTTTATAAGTTAATTAATAACTAATTATTAGTTAGTAACTAATTATTAATATTATCCGGTTGATGGTGCTCGACTGAAAATGATTTTTTGAGGTAATTTAAGGAAGGCAATTGAAGTTTTAAATAATAAATAATAAATACTCAAACAGGCTGCTAACCTGATTTAGGATAGGTAACCAAAATAACATCGTCATCCCTCAGCTCGTAGTTTGATGTTCTGTGTATCTCGTTGCCGTCTATCAACTGTTAATATGAAGCGTCATATCACTATAAGCTTACTAGACTTAGAGTCTTGGATCCTCGACCAAAGTTAACCTTTTTCCAGTATTTATATTAGAGTAAAACATATTCAGAGCTCCTAACATGTGATCATGGTTCCCGGACGAGCTTAAACTTTTGTCATTATTGAGCCTTATGAACGACAGACAAGCATTGACTCACAATTATTTGGATTTATTTTGGATTTATGAGAACCAGTCCAGCAAAGATTTAGTATTATTACTATTAGGTATACACTTAATCTAGTGCACGGTTAGTAAGCTGACATTTAACGTACCGGTGGGTATATCTGTCCACACAGAAAGTTGTGTCTGAACGGCAGGTTTAGAGGAGGGAACAACCTTTTTATGGGCATATTCCAATCCATGTCGAGTTAAAATGCAGGTGGTTACTGGAAACAAAGAGAAATAGACAATAAATAAGCTAGTGTTAAAAGTGTAGTGGGCCAAGGTTTTACTTTCAGATTTAACCCACGCATTACATTGCATATATTGTGTAAACTTTTAGGTACTGCCACTTTGAGATCAAACTTTTGGAAGCTTTACATTTTACAAGTTTTTCGCACAATTAAGTTTACTACCACGAGTTTCTAAAATTTCATTAGACAAAATAAATGAACACATATTGCTAAACTTATCAAAAATTCACCTATTTAATCCACCACTCCGACAAACGATAAATCAATGCTGAGCTGGAGGAGGACGCACTCGATGCAGTTGTCCTGAGCACGCCCTGCCAAACTCACCAAAACGTACCAAAACGTACGTACGTAAATACAATGGGGGGGGGGGGGGTTCCAAATGATAACGCTAGTGTAATTTTGACACAATAGCTATGTGTAAAACTGATTACAGAGGGGTAATCAGTTAATATGTGAACGACCCCTAAACAACGAGCTACTCGCACGTCTTGTAATTAGCTGACCTAGAAGATCAGACCGCTGCAGTTAAAACAGTCAGCACTAAGGAGACGAAAGCAGTGGTGAGGGAAGATTCTAGTTGAGTCTACGATATACAGTATCATACAGTAAAGTTTGATATCCTCAGTATCAGATCAAGTGATTCCATACCTCTTCTCCACATTAACTCGTGCAAAAAAAAGAGTTATTTTCCATTCTCTCGCACTAGCTATAATACAGTAGTATACAGTACTGTCTTTTGGTGACGGCTGCCTTACTTATGCGGTAGGCAGTATCATGCTTGCAGTATAAGTCATGATGCAGTAAAAAGTCATTTTGTCAAGGCTAAAGACCGCGATCCCCCGGCTTCCGCAAGCTATCTAATGAATAAAGAGATGCCCCAAATTGAAATAGGTAGTTTATCGTCCAACGGTCTTACGGAACTTTACAGTTCCATAAGACTGTCGGACGATTAACCCAGCGATTAACCTAGTTTCTATTGCATTATTCATCTATTCGACAATAGACCTTATTAAGGATAGCTCAATACTCAAGACTGTTTTTAAAGAGTTAAATTGGGTTTTACACGTGACCCACGTAGCATAGGTCACACTTGGTCACGTGACCCACGTAGCATAGGTTACACTTGGTCAGGGAAGAGGGTGCTCTAGTTGTAGGCGGGCATAATACAACCTATCTACGTTTTATTTTGCATGCTTCTGAACAGCCTTGATTTTCAATCGAATTATTCGACCTATGGGGAAAAGTCGGAACATCCTCTTTCATCTTCTGATTATTTTGATGGTGGAAAATGATGTTACTTTCGCAGGTTAACGTTTGAGAGAACCTTATATTATTTCAGTCACTGTTGATACGTTTCACTGAAGAATTCGTTATAGAAGTGGTAAAATAATCATGAATTTAACAACTGCTCCCTAAGATCCTTTATAGCGCTTAACACTCTAAAATGTTTCAGGGAAAGTTGAACCTGCATCAGTTTCCCAAAGCAGCACTTTCGTTTTGAGTGTTAATGCAGAGATCAATGCGGAATATGCTACTGACGGTGATCTGGAAACGAAATCGCACACTCAGTGTGGATGGAACACTGACTTGTGGTTCAAAATGAAGTTTGATGAAGTCTTCTGTTTCTTTGAAGTGGTGATCATCCAGGGTCATCTCACCTTGAGTGCTACTCGAATGCAGGATACAAAAGTATTTGTAGTCAACACAGATACAGGAATTGAGAATCTCTGCGGAGTTCTCGAAATCAGTTCTGTTTTGACTATAGAGGGCCAAAAGTATAGAATTCCTTGTCATCTGAAGTGTGGCAATGAAGTGAAGCTGACGGTGAGACATGACCCTGGCAGCTACGCCGTCAAAGCATGCATTCACATGAAAGAAATAATGGCATTTGGTGCAGGTATGTCAAAAATTTATATTTTCAGTTTATATTACATTTTAAGATCATCAATGATTGGATGTGTACAATATTTTTATCCATCAAAAATTAATTTTTGATGGTGCGCGGCTTTTGTAGCAAAAGTAAATGTAAAAGTTGCTAGTTGCGTAATTTGACGAAATTCGTTGATTTTTGTCGTATTATCCTGTCATACTCATATCTTCGGTTCCTTGAATGAGATCATTCTGAAAATTGATGAAGACCTTCCAATAGGGCTTTACAACTGCAACTGTCCGAAAAATTTGGTGGATATCGGAGTTTTAATTAATATAGTGATCAAAATGGGGGATAATATGAAAAATACGCTGCTTTTAGCTATAAGTTGTAACATAATGTCATGTGTGTTGTAAAATACCGTATGCTTTAAATTTTTCGGACACTTTCCTAGTGTTAATAAGAATATTAGTAAGCTAACCAATTTTTGTTAAAATTGGATCAAGGGAACTTAACTGGAAGGTTACTCTATTTGCATTTGTTTCAAGAATTTTGTGCTGGCCGAAATTAGCGCTAAAAAACCATTTTACATACAGTCGGCATGCGCGGCCTACTGTCGATGGGGCACTACCTAATTATAACTATTTTAGCGCAATGCTTTACTCTGCCGCGCCGCGCACTCAATTATGCTTCTCGCTAGATCGGCGAAATGCGTTTTATTACTGTGCCGCGCCGAGCTGCGACGAATTGACATCGTCAAATAATTATAATTACTACTGTTTTGGTTTCATTTACAGATTATATTTCAGATTTAACACAGATATCTTATAAGAAGTCCATATCTTCTAAAATGATCGGTGCATACCGCATCAATCATCAACGGCATCATATTATGTAATGTCTACCATATAAGTATATAAAGGGAGATGTATATTATAAATTATTCCACCGCATCCACCGCATAGCGTTAAATTCCTGTGTAAACAAGATTGTATCACAAAGCAGGTGCATTATGATAGCACTTGCATTAAATTTCAAATCTTACTATATATAAAGCGAGACGATATATAAACAGGAATTAAACAGGAATTAAACAGGAATTAAACAAAATTGGGTCAAACGGCATATGCCGTGTCTGACCAATATAGGAATAGAAGGTTTAATATTCAAAACTACCCCAATGTAACAAATAACCAAACAAGGTGGTAAAAGTAGATAGCCATGTAAAAGAAATAGCACAGATAGCACAGTCGTATGCAGAAATACTCAGCCAAGAGCACTCAACAATGACAAAGAAAGTATCATACAATGTCCACACACTTATCAAAATATACAAAACACGACATTCATTCAGTATTTTTCTTCGGGAACCTCCGTTCATCGACCTTATTTAAAAACCGTCCAATGTCTCTAATAGTTGTTGAGTCGTCGAAGATTTCTCCCGGTTCTTCTCTCATTACTAACAGGTCCCTCGTTCGTTGATGCAGGTTTTTGCGTAGGTCTTCGTATAGGGGGCATTCGTAGAGGATGTGATGCTCATCTTCTATCACTGGATAGGCCCCTGGTAGCTCATAGAGAAGATCTAACAAGTCATCGTCACTTGAGCAGCAATGTCTGCAGGCCCGATGTTTTATGTTAAACCGCTTTTTCGCCGTAGCGACCAGTTTCAACGTTAAAGCGGTGGGAGCTGCTTCTGAATTGCGCGATCTTCTTTGAGCAGTTAGGTTTAAGATCAAGGGCTAGATACGTCTCTTGAGCAAACTTTCTCTTCACTAAGTTGTAGAATGATAGTTTTCTGTTAGATGTCCTTTCTGTTTCCCATGAGTTTATAAACCACTTTTGCAAACTCATTCTAATCTGGCTTGGTCTTAATCCTTGGTTTCTCTCTGATGCCTCGATGGTTTCTTGCATCTGCTCGAGAGTGGACTGTGGAGAACCAGCTCAGGTTTAGGGTCGCCTGCTCTTCGAAAGCGTGTCTAGCAAAGCAGTCACGACCGTCTACAACCATTTGTTCAAGTCTTTCTTTGTAGTTAAACACTTGCTTTGATAGCGTGATGCCTAGTGGATGCCTGCCTGTGTCACCCCATATCGCAGCATTGGATGTTGACTTCCTCACCCCTAAGGTCCATTTCAAAAGAGACAGATGAAAGTTCTCTAGAGGGTCCCTGGCAATGAGTGTACACACGTTTCCTGTTTCTGGTGTGGTGCTCGTGTTTGTGGGGAAGTTGCGGAACAGAGCTGTGCTTGGCAGCCACACTTGGCAACCATACGACACCACAGGTACAATAAGTGTATCATATAGCTTGAACAGTATAGATTTCCTGATGTGGCGGGTATCAATGTAGCTTTTCAAAGAGAAATAACTTCTTAATGCTTTTTGCCTCAGCTTTTGTTGTGTTAGCTTAAGTGATCCGCTCAGAGTAAATGTAATGCCAAGGTAGCAGTACTCTCTCCCGGAGGGGATCTGTTGTTCTCCCAGTTTGAACTCATGACTTTCCTTCAGATGCCTTCCTGTTGGGTTAAACACAAGGACTGAAGTTTTTCCAATGTTTACTGTCAGGCCCCATTCTGAGCAGTAATTGTTTAGGACATCGAGCATTTGTTGAAGACTGTGTTTGTTGAGGGCTAGAAGGACAAGGTCGTCTGCCCATAGCAGATGAGTTATATCTGTATCATTTAGGACAGGGACTTTCACTCCTTCGATGTTGTTGAGATCATGTGAAAGCTGGTGGACAAAGCATTTAAACAGTTCAGGGGACATGGGGTGTCCTTATATATATAGCTTCATTTCATTTCATATCACGATCAACATATCATATCATTTTGGAACATGTTCATGGGAATTAAATTATTTTATTTGCACTTGTTTCTCTTTCAACAAAAGATGTGACGAAGTTAAATTTGTATGATTTTTAAATTTTTATTTTAAGAAAACTCTTGCACATTATTTATTTATTTATTTCTATTATATTGATGTATAGTCAAGACGTGAGTGTTAGGGCTCTCATTGACAAATTTATGTTTAATCCTGTTTAATGTTTAATCCTGTTTAATTTATATACATATTAGGAACCGACCGGATTGGAGTTTTGGCTGCCGGACCGGATCTTGCCGGATTTCAATCTCAAATCCGGCAA